AGTGATAGTTGGTTTTGGACAAGATCTGTAAGAAGGTGGTTTTGGATGAGACACAGCAGTCCTGAAGCAATGTGTGATGACGCTGAAGTCACACTCTTTGCAGTCCCTTTACAGAAATCATTGTTCCAGGTCTTAAAATAACCATGCTCTGATTAAAGAAAACTGTGAATCCCTTATGAATGCCATCTTGTTTGATAGCTGGAGAAGCTGAGAAAAGTAACCCTGATGTTGCCTAGTACTGGTTTTGTGCAGTAGCTCTGAGTATGTGGTGAAACTTTGGATAAGGAAATGACAGTGAGTTGGTTTGATTGACATGTTCGAATATAATTGCAATTATATTCCTAACTAAAAGGATCAGCAGGGACCCTAGTAAAATTCTGTTGCCTTGGAATCATTACATCTGACTCAAAAACATGGCTCATGCTTCTCCTCAATATGTGCATGGGTGAATATGCCTGCATCCTGTTTTTTTTTTTTTTTTTTTTTTTGTGTGTGTGTGTGTGTGTGTCAGCAGCCATTTGGATTGCAGGACAAGCTTTTCTATTTGCTTTCTTGGCCTTTTGGCAGGTACAAAGGTACTGACTTGTTTCATGATAAGAACGCCATAGAAATGAAAGCTATAAGTGGGTCTTTAAGCACTCAGAAATTAAAAAGGTCATTTTTAACTCATTGTGGGTGCTGTGGTCAGGAGCAGCTCATAAAAAAAGCAAGGAAAGTCCCACTTCACTTTCAATATTCGTTTTTACTTTCTCTGAGAATGTTTCCGTTTAGTATTGAAACATGCAGACATGATATGCACTTTCTTTTCCTGAGCTCTAATCAAATTACTAAAAGGCAACAAAATATACAACCAGCAAATGTTAAGAGTCAATAAATAAAACATTTTTCATACCAAGGAAAAGACCTAACTAAGCAATCCCAGAGGAAATTTGAGTTAGCTCTAGAGATACATATATGGAAAGTTGTTCTACCCATTTGAATCTTTTATAAGATGTGTAAAATTATCAGAAATAAAAAAAGGAACTGAGGCAAAAAGGCAAATGTTAAAAAATGTTGATGATCTTCATCAGGTATTACTTTGCCAATATCACTGAAATGAAATTCTTGAACCTATTCTGACACTGAAAGACATTTCTAATATGGCAGAAATCTAATTTCACTGCGGAGTCACACGCAGCGTTATCAGCCTCAGCAGACACTTTGGATACAATTCATAGGACGCACAGTGTCAAGTAAAACGTGAGCACAGTTCAGGATGGGCAAGAGGTGCTGGAGCCGCAGCATCCACAGATCCTTAAGCTCTATATTGAACACTTGAACTTCAAATGCTGGAATGAAAGTTGATATTCTCTATAACTTAAAATTTCTTGGGATAGAAGCGGTGTGAAGGACAAAGAACTAAGCGGAAGAGTTTGCATGGTCAGCCCCCCTATATGGACAAGGCTGTCGCAGCTCTCAGGGGCTGAATCTAGGCTGAGCTGGTCCTTTGTTTTGACTTAATCCTTCTCATCCTTGTGCTTTCTGGAGTGCAACTGTATCCAAATTTCAGCTTCTGCTGCAAACTGCATCCCTCCCTGCCTTGCATTTAGTCTAACCAACCCGGTGGTGGTATTTAGGCTTCCAATCAGAGGTCGTTCTACACATACTCTCTCCGCTTTACCTGGATTCTGTACCTGAAAGCGACACACCTGCTCGTTTAACACACACTAATCAAGTCGAGCAGAGCGTTTTCTTATTTTGGTGGTAACAGGGCAAAAAGTGGCTGATCACTCAAACAAAGAAGGGTGATTTGGGGTAGGGGAACAGTATCTGGAAAAGGGGTCACATTTCTTATGCTCCCCTGACAGGCAGTCAGTTCCACAAAACTGTTATAAGTGACATTTCTATTTCAAAGTTAGTGAAATGCTGTAGCACCTTATCTTCTCCCATTTGTATTTCAGGGGTCTTCAGATTATTGGGACAAATCCTAGGAGTGGATAATGTACCTTGTAATGTTGTTAAAACATAGTGATATGACTTCAAAACAGAACACGTGCCTCTCTAGCGGGCAGTATCTTTATTAAAGACTTCCTTTACCTTGTGAGACTTTTTCTGTCAAGGGTAATAGGACCATTTGAAAGACCAAGGTCAGACCCTACAATCTCAGATACAAGCAAAGCCTTGGAATGTTTCAGATCTCAACCACCTACTGCCTTCTTTTTGTATGTACAGAGAGATGAACAGGTAAGACTACATGAAGCTCACTTAATCTTATTTATGGAGATTAAAAGAAAGTCAGCCTTGTTTTTCTTTTTTACCTTGAAAGGCCTTTAGTGGAGAGGCACCAAGCCAAGCCCCACCCAGCCCCTAGGGCAGGTCCTAACACTCAGGATAGAAATGGCAAAAGCAGAGGTCTCTAAGCACAGTTCTGCACAGGCTGTGTCTCTTCAGGGCAGAGTTCTGCTCAGCACACCTGGATCATTACAGATGTCACCACTTTGTCAAAGGCCCTGGACTGGATGCGGTCTCCAGGGTTGCAGAAGAGGTTGCACACCATGTCTGTGCAGAAGCTATGCAGCTTCCAGATCATGCTGCAGATTTCATTGTCTCTTCATAGTCCTCTGTGTTGGAGGAATCTACCACAATGACAAACTTCACCTTGGAGTTGGTCACATAGCCGTATGCCCTCTGTTGGGTAGAGCAGGCCCAGGTAGGGCTCCCTCTGGTACACCAGGGCCTTCCCCCTGGTAGAGATCATCTTATCCGCCACATCCATGGAGGTGTGCACCATGTAGTGGAATTCAGCTCATTCTCCATGGGGGTTCTGTACAGAGGGTAATTCTCCTTGGCGATCACTGCGATACACACCACCATCATAAGTGCAAAATAAGTATCATGTATTCATACTTCTTTGAGGTCACACCTCTATCTCAGATACAGTTGTTCTTTCACAGAGAAAAATCTATGTAAAAAGATGATTACAGCAGTTTTCAAGATGGCGGATTAGAGGAGGCCGCTTTCCTGGCTGATCCCTGGAGTGAAACCAAGGAAGCGGACAGGCAGCTTCTCAGCAAGGTGGGTGAACAACAACAACAAAAGGGCGAGGAGGTTTACTGGAGTTTAAAACTGGACATTCAGAGCAGATCAGGGACTCAGAAGGTTCGATATAATAATGTAAAGGAGAAATCCCCAGCGGTACAGCTACTGTCTCAGCCTGGCTAGAAAGGAGTGGTCCCTCCATGAGAATAGTGGACAGATAAGGGAAGGAAAGGAACCTGAATGTTTAGGAGGCCAGAGGCTCATCTGGGTATGGCGAGGTCAAGGACATTGCCCGACTAGACTGCCTGGGCATTATCCTTGTGTGGGAGAGAAGCTGCCATCTCTCCAGGTGGCGTGCAGAGGACAGAGGAAGGAATCATTTTGCAGCCACAGTACAGGCCAGCTGCGGGAGCCGATTCCGGCAAATCCAAGGTTGGCCTGAAATGCAGGCCTGGTCAACCCCCACTACCCAAGACACAGTGAGCCCAAGTGGCCAGGGGAAAATCAAACATGGAAAGAGGTTTACACAGGGGACAACTGGTTGTGGAAACCCCCAGGATCTCCCTCTCCCCCTCCAATCTGGCTGCTTGCAGGACCAATGAATAACCCAATCAATAAATGGGCTAAGGAACAGAACAGACACTTCACAAAAGAAAAAATAGGAATCGTCCACAAATATATGGAAAAATGTTCAACATCACTAGCAAGTAGAGAAATGCAAATTAAAACTACACTGAGATTTCATCTCACTTCAGTCAGACGGCAGTTATAAAGAATACACGTAACAATAAATGTTGGCGAGGATGTGGGAAAAAAAGTACACTCCTACATTGCTGGTGGGACTGCAAATTGGTACAACCACTTGGAAAAGCAGTATAGAGATTCCTCAGAAAACTTGGAATGGAAAATCCTTGACCCAATTATCCCACTCCTTGGCATGTACCGAAAGGACTTAAAATCAGGATACTATAGTGACACAGCCATCAATGTTCATAGCAGCTCAATTCACAGTAGCTAAGCTCTTGAACCAGTGTAGGTGCCCTTCAATAGATAAATTGATAGAGAAAATGTGGTACATATACACACTGAATATTACTCAGCCATAAAAAAAGAATAAAATTTTGGCATTTGCCTGTAAGTGGATGGAATTGGAGGCTATCATGCTAAGTAAAATAAGCTGACCCCCCAAATCCAAAGGTTGAATATTCTCTCTGATATGTGGATGCCGACTCACAGTAGGCTGGGGGGAGGGAGGAGTGAGAGGTTCACCTGATTGAGGGGAAAAATGGGGGCAAGGATGGAGGGATGGGAATGGGAAAGACAGTAGAATGAACTGGACATAACTTTGCTGTGTTCATATATGAACACACAACCAATGTAACTACATCATATACAACCACAAGAATGAGAAGTTATATTGTAAGTATGTATGATATGTCAAAATACATTCTACTGTCATGTATAAAAGAACAACAACAACAGAGATACATGATTACTATATGAATAACCCAAGGTAGGCTTTGTACATTTTGGCTGTGATCCAGGATTGAAATGGCAGGTGAGCAGATTGACAATTATAATGTCCTCATTAGAAATCAGTTTGGTAATATTTTATGAAACTAAATTACTTTCCCAAACCCTTTTATACCTGAGGTCATGATGATAGGATAATTCTGGGAGAGTGACTTACTGGGTGAGTTCCATGGATGTGCTGGACAAAGGGCTGATTCACATCCCAGGCAGGACAGAGAGAAGACCAGGATTTGATTTATGCTACTTGGAACACCATTCATACGCATTTAGTGTTTGAATTGTTCAGTTCTGGAATGTTCTACCTACCAGACTGTAGCTGACCTGCCTGAAACGAGGGAAAGCAAAACTGGATAAAGGGGAGCTGCTGTGTTGAGTTTGGGACTGAATATTATTTTCAGTTTAGTGAATGAGTTTTGAGATTTGTAATGAAGTGTGTTTGAAATAAAATCTTGCGTCAGTGTTCTTTATTCCCAATGTCTGACTGCTCAACACAGTCTCCACTGTAAGTTCCAAGTAGCGGATATGTTCAGATAACTTACAGCAGAATTCCAACAACAACAAAAAATTGGCCTCTTTAAAAAATTTAAATGCACTTTATTTAGCACAAGCTCTGCCTTTTAAAAATTAAGTGTTTCTGGGATGGGGGTATAGCTCCATGGTAGATCTCACGTTTAGCCTGTAGGAAGCCATGGGTTCAAATTTCCAGCACCAAAAAATAAAGAATAAATAAATACAAATTAGGTGTTTAATTCCCCCAAGTTTATATATATTTATATATATAAATACTGCTAGAAACCCCCTGGAAATTCCCTGTACAGTGTTCTCTTTTAGATATCCCACTGATGCAGCATTACCACATCTATCTGGGGTCATGGTGGGAAGGAAGCTCCCTGCCTCTCCCAGGCCACTGAGAATTGATGTGACTATCTTCCCCTGGACGTGCAGGGGTATACAGAGCTATTCCTGAGGTAGAGTTTCAACACAAAATCTCAGCAGAGCACAAAATAAAAAAATAATTATGAAAAAAAATTAAATTGGCAAAATCATCAAATCAGAGCTTGTGAATAATACTGTTTTCAAAGTCCAAGAGCAGCCCTTAGAAATGGGACCAGATCTTGTTGTTCTCTCAGAGAACTGCAGAATTGAAACGGAGACATGCTCACGGGAAGAGGAAGAAAAATGGCTCACCAGACAAGACAATGTCCCAGGTGTTGAATACTTAGATCTGATGAGCATCTAAGCCAAGCAACGAGGTCAGCACAGTTGGTATATCTGCTCAGTAACAAGAACATCACCTCCAAGATTATGGTTTGTTTCCATGCCGTTTGCATGTTCTTACAAGTGACTGGAACTAGAATTTCCAGTTACTGCTATTCAAGGGGGTCCCCAACATGGGCTGTTCGTCTGTGATGGGTCCTGCTGACTACACACAGCTCAGCTGGGCTCACAGACATCTGCTTCAAAGCTGAGCTTGTGTTGTGGTTTTGAAAAGGCTCCCTGGAGCCCATAGTTGCAGACCGTGTCGATGCGTGGCGACCCGTCTCAAGCTCTCCTTCTCAAAATCCTGCCTTTCCATTCACTGATTTGAAAACAACCACAGTTGATGTAATAAGGTCAGAGCTTTGTCGCCATGCCCACGTTCCTGGGTTCCTCTGGTTGTGGCCGAGCTGGGCTCTGTACTTCCTTTCGGCATTTGGCAGAGTAGAGGATGTATATGCTTCTTATCAGGAAAATGCCAGCGATGACTGCAAAATAACTCCCGTAAACTAAAAACTGGAGAAAAACGAATAATCAGCCTCATATAAAATCTGACCACCTATGTCATTGACATCGTGGAATGATGCTGTCAGCTTGCTTGGATGATGGGGAAACAGACCTAGGATCTGAGGATGGGTCATGTTGATTAGACAATCCGCTCTTCTATCTTAGAAGAATCAAGTGTGAAAATGTAAGCAATTCAGGGATAGGGAGTCACTAGTTTGGAGGCAGATTGTCTAGACTCAAATCCCAGCTGCTGTTATCAATAGTGAAAGCACATTACATCCTACAGATTTATCTAGGTGTCCATGTTTGGAGGCTGGAATAGTGTTTTGTGCTATGTCTCAAACTCTTGGCTTGTGCCACCAGGCCTGACTTATGTGCAGTGTCTGTAAGGAAGAATTTAAGACCCCAAGGCTACTTCTTACCTCCCTTACCCAGGTAAATATCGACCTTCATGGTGTTATAATATAATTAAGGAATCGTGTGTTTTTAAGTTTGCCTAGCCAAAGAATTTAAGAAATCACAATATTGTTAGCTGTTGAAGAACTTTGGAGGCAACCTAGTTACTCTACATTCCCAGCAACTACATGAGAAGGAAAACAGAAGTCCTGGAGCTTACCTGCGTGGTGACTGGCAGGTTGAGCCCTCTCTGATCCACCACAATCACAGTCATGACAGTCTGAATCACCAAGGCAATAAAGGTGTTCATTCCAAACACCAGGGCATAGCGCTCCACGCTTAGGTTCACCGCGATCTGAAATCTACCATGAGATGTCAGACAAGTATTTTAACCACAAGATACAGGAGAGTCTTACCTTCAAAAGCTAGCAACTGGAGAGAACACAGTGTTGTTAATTGTACTTCTTGTCTAAATCCCTCAGTATACACGGACAGGCAGAGCAAAGGAATTAAATATCATTAAAGGCTGAATTAAGGATAACATGGGAAAAGTCCTCCTATCCAACTTAGTGCTTGCCAGAAATTAATCCTGAGTTCCTGAGTGTCCTAAATTCTCATAACATAAGAATATTGGCTGTCATCTAATCATAGATACTGTTTCCCAGTGAATTTTTTTTTTTTTTTTTTTTTTTTTTTTTTTTTTAGTATTATCTGTTTACTGTTAATTGCTGGCATGGACAAAGTTTGGTGTATCAATTATTCTTTGGAAGATCCAGACCTTGAGTGCTTGTACAATTGAGTAAATCTGAATTTAATTTGTAATTATATAGATTTTTAAACTCTTACTATATTCATTGAAATACAGGTGAAAGGCTTTGGACTTTGAATTTTTTTTTTTTTATGTAAAGAAAAAACGGAGTCCTATCTTAAAGTCTTCACCTTAAAAAACAACAACGAAAACCTCCAGACAAGAGTTTATCCATTAAGCCAGGGCAACACAGGGGAAAATTAACTTGCTAACTTGTTTCTTCTCCTTCCTTTGTCCCATGATGCTTTTCCTGCAGCTCTAACTCAATGTCTCCTCAATTGTTTATCAAAGACTTTTCACAAGTTAAAAACAAATCAACCTGATAAAGTTGCTTCAACATTTTTTCATGCACCTTGAAATTCAAGTGTTTCTCATCTCTTTAGTTACTATTAAAGCACATTTCCTGTATCCAGCTTTAACTATACTTATATGAACCATATCATTCTTTAGTCATTTTCTAAAACATCTCTCTGAAAAAAATGCAAAGATTATAGGAAATTCTATATCCCAGAGATCTTCTTTAAGAAATAATTAAATACCATTTGGTTCCATGTATCAGGGCAACCACGTTTCTTTTAATATTTTTATCTACTTTATTTCAGTATTCAATTTTTTATAAATTTCCCGAGAATATTTGGTTCACAGAAAAGTATGTGCTTGGAATTACTGAAGCAGCAAATGAGATTAGGGATGAAATCTAAACTTCAGCATTTAAAATTAAATCACATTACACCTTGTTATGGAAAATTGTTGGAAATAAAAAATAAAACCCTGATAATGTACCATTGCTTCTGTTTTATCACGAAGAATTGCTGGAAATTAAAAAAAAATCATTGAAACCAGACAATGTATCATTGCTTTTGATTTAGAAGGTAGCAGAACTTTTTTCCTGAATGACTAATCTGAGCAATATTCAGATAACAAATGGTTAAACGGAAAGATGACTTGGTTGCATTGGGTTTAAAATTAAGTAGTTTTAATATTGCAATTAAATTTAATATTGCAAGTAAATATTGCAATCATTAAATGTCACAATTGATTGCAATATTGTGTTTTAATATTGCAATTACATTCAATATTGCAATTGATTAAAATCCTTCTGAAGTTCTCAGAGGAACTTCAGGAATAAAAGAGGAAAAAATGCTTGGTAATACTCACACTGCTATGGTTATGAGAAGCATATAGCTGGACTTGAACACCAAATAGCCAGTGTAGCACACCCAGATGCTGAATGTGTAATGCATGAGGAGCAGAGACCCTGCACTGAACGTGGAGAAGATGGCCAGAGCCAGCTCCCCCAGGAGATCCCAGTTGATTTTCACATAACCCACTGCGAAGGCAGCCAGGGCTCCTGAAAACAAAACACGGGGAAGATCAATATACTGACTTTGTACACAGAAACCATCAACACACCTCAAACACTTGGCTCTTGAGCAATTCTGAAAGATGAATACATTGCTTTCACCAAAATTGTGTGATCTATCTGAATGAAGATCTATCCTTATTCATCTAGGTTTTCTTCTCTTTTCATTTCCTATTTCTCAGTTACTTCGTCATACACTTTAAATTAGTATCTATAACATACCAGGCATTAGACTAGGCAGAGGGTCCAAAAATGTTCCTACTCACAGCAGGAAGATTGGATAATCGACAAGAGACTGGATAATTGATGGTAATTAGGGTTAGTAATTGTGGTTCTCCTTAACAAAGTGAAAGGCATTTAAGTTTCAAAAAAGACTGAAAATTGATGAATTAATTTTCCCATATGTTATCTAAGAATGGGCCATATCTACAAAGGAGTATTTCCCCCAAGAATTTGGAAGGTAGGAGCAATCATTCCAATGAGCCAATTTGGGCACAGTTTTGGTTTTCAGGAGTGACACTGAAGCCCCCCAAAGACAGACAATAACAAAACAAAGACCACATGAGTTTTCTGAAACTTTTTGAATGAGGGTGTGGAAAAACCTCACTTCCTAAAAAATATCTTCAAAGCCTCATTTGACATTTAAGTTTCCATTTACAAGGCTGTAAATATTTATTGTAGAAAAAACTTCAAAGGCAGATTTCTCTCTGATATTAGAGTCTTGACTCTCATACCTCTTCCACGTCTTTTTTTTTTTTTTAAAAAAAACAACAACATAAAACTACTTTTAAAAATTGGTGGTATACAGGATTGCTGGGATGAGTACTAGTTAGATCATTGACAAGACTCTTTCAGTGAGATTTTGGAAGCCTTAATGAATTTTCAAAAATAATTAATAAAACTCATTACTTAGGCAAATCTTTTTCCTTTTGATATTAAAAACAATTCTGAAAGAACAGGGAATACTATGTCACTTGTCCAAATGATGAAATGGAGCCTGAGGAATTCAATAACAATTTATTTGGTTCTAAGGTCTGAGATCTCGAATTACTTTTACCTATACCCAAACATTAAGTAAAAGGTTATGATACTCCCATTTTTCCAGAATATTCCAATCTTGGAAAAAAATTAGCATGCTTCTGAACAGAGCTAATTATTTACCACTCTGGAAATGTTTAGAGAATTGAATTTAAAATGTAGCATATCAAAGGAAGATAAAGTGATGTTTACCTACCTCCAAATGTTGCAATAGCTTCTACTGCTCCATTATAGATGGAGGAATCTTGGGATGGGGCCTTGTCATCCCACAGGATCTGCACATAGTTCAAAACCTGGTTAAAACCCGCTGTGGAAAGAGCCCACCACAGGGACCAGTAGAAAAGACGCTTTGAGGAGTAGCACTCCCGCAGATCCTGGAACCACTGCACGCAGCTCCTCCAAGCCTCATGTTTGGGCTTGGGGCTGCTGGCCTGGCTCTCCTCCCCAGGCCTGGGAAGGCTGCCTGCTTCTTGGTGGGCTGCTTCGTCACCTCTAAGGGCTTCCTCTGGGACGGCAGTCTGTCCTGGTGTCTTCTGAGAAGCTTGTTTGCTGGGTTTTGCATGGAAAAACATGCTCTTCTTGGGCATTGGCAGAAAGAGGGAGAAGAAGAAAGCCACGGAGACAGAGGCCAAGGAGATGACGTGGAGGTGGAAGTAGGACACGTTTGCCAGGGAAACCAGGAGCTGGGCCAGCACCGAGGCCGCTGTGTAGGCCACCAGCGTGACACTCCGACAGTAGCCGCTCACCTTCTGGTAGTGCTCTGGTCTGACCACACTGTAGATGTAGGCGTAGTAGGCCACCTCGGTGGCCGACACCAGACCATAGACAAATTCAACCAGCTGCATGATCTTCACTCCTTGGCCAAACAGGAGCAGCAGCCAGGTGACGATGAAGCTTATCCCCTGTAAGACGATGACCGGCTTGTAGCGGACGTAATCAGTGAGGACAAACACGGGGAGCAGCAGCACCAGGTAAGAGTAGGTCCAAACAGGAAGGATCTCGTTGGTGATCTGCAAAGTGAGACACAGCGTGACCATGAGCCCGGCCATCTCTAGGGGACCTGCAGTGAGTACCTCACATTCCGTAGCTCACCAGATATTCTTGTGGAATCACATGATTGAAAACAGATTTTTAAGGTAACCTCTAAAAGATATTCCCCTTTCCCACGGGGGTCCAAAACCAACCAGAACCTTTCCCTCCACCAAAGAAAGGTGGGGGAATCCTACCTAACTTATATACTTACACTATCCCAGGAGAATATATCGGGAGAGTGGGTAATCAGAATTTTATTTTATAGTAAATTTAAGTTTTAATAATATGTACAGTTAAGTGTATTAGTTAAAAAGCTACCCCTGCCCCTTTGGTTTTCCAAGTCTTAAAAAAAAAAATTCCTATTTTTTTTTTTTTAGTATTAGGGATTAAACCCAGATGCACACTACTTTTGAGGTCCCTCTAAATTCAGAAGGTTGGCCTTGAACTTGTGATCCTCTTGTCTACGTGTCATGACTCGCTGGGATTACAGGTGTGACTAGCATCCCTGGCTCCTTTGTTGTCTGAACTGCTTGGGGGTACTGAAACCGTTACCCCAAGTGATTTTACAGAACAGGCTTGCCTTTCAGCCCTGCCACCTCACCACCAATAAACCCGCACCAATCAGCCCTCTAGGTGGAGCCACCCATAACGTTTTCATGGCTGTGGCTGGAGGTGGTAAAACCAGCCCAGGATACTTTTCTGGCCGGTGGGGACATTTTCTGGTTGCATTCATTATAAAGAAAAAGAATCTTTTTGGGGAGAGGGTACTGGGAATGGAACTCAGGGGAGCTTAACCACTGAGCTACATCCCCAGCTCTTTTTATTTTAAGACAGGATCTTGCTAAATTACTTAGGATCTCACTAAGTTGCTGAAGCTGGCTTTGAACTTGCCACCTTCCAGCTTCAGCCTTCCAGGTTGCTGGGTTATGGGCATGTGCCACCCAAGTCCAGTGAGACAGATCTTTTAAGTAAGAGAATTTGGCTTTCTAGGGAAGGAGGGAGTGATGGGAGAGAAAGCTGTTAATGTCTCATCTGCTGCTAAATAATTTTTTTAAAAATTGTTTTTAGTTGTACGTGGACACAATACCTTTATTTTATTTATTTTTATGTGGTGCTGAGGATAGAACCCCAAACCTCATACAAGTTAGGCAAGAGTTCTATCACTGAGCCACAACTGCAATCCCTATTTAATAGTTTTAAAACTGAATAACAACCTAAAGAAATATGGAATGTGTCACTTAACAATGAGGACATATTCTGAAAAATGCATCACTGAGCACTTTTCATTGAGCAATTTTCTTTGTGTACTTACACAACCCCAGATGGCATAGATTACTACATGCCTAGGTATGTCGTATATATGGTATAGCCTACAGCTCCCAGGCCATGATGAACAAAACACCAGGAGATTAAATTACATTCAAGAGAAAAAGATGTGGTCAAGAGATGGTGGCAAACAGGAGATACGTAAACACACACAAGCAATAAAGATGTAGGAGGCTGCTGCTGGTGGTCCCGGGCATGCTGTTCCATACTTGTCTTGTTACAAGTAGGACTATATTCTAAAACAGTGATTAAAAGCCACAAAGTGGTAAATGCTTAAACCAGGAAGTCATTTATTATTATTAAGAAGTATTAGGGCTGGGGCTGTAGTTCAATGGTAGAGTGCTTGCCTCGCACCACATAAAAATATATAAAGATTTTTTTAAAAAGAAGAATTGTTATAGCCAGGCATCACACACATGCCTGTGATCTCACTGACTTTCAAGTTTGAAGCTAGCCTGAGCAACTTAGTGAGAGCCTCACTCATGATAAATAATAAAAAAAGGGCTGGGGGGGTGCTATGGCTGTGGCTCAGTGGTGGAGCGCTTGCCTAGCACGTGTGAGGCACAGGGTTTGAGACTTAGCACCGCATACAGAAATAAACAAATTAAATAAAGGCATGATGTCCATCTACAACTACAAAAATAAATAAATAAATTTCTGTGGATGTGTAACCGACGTGATTCTGCAATCTGCATTTGGGGTAAAATTGGGAGTTCATAACCCACTTCAATCTAATGTATGAAATATGAT